GCTTTGAATCTCTCATTCTTCTTTGGGCCTGTGAGTCGTGATTCATTGTACGGGTTGCACCCACCCAATTTGGGCTCATATTTTTTTTTTGGGTTAATTCTTATGCCTATGATTTGAGCTGTACGGTTGTGGCTTGTGGGTTTCCAAATTGTTCTGACATACTGACATGTTGAACCAATCTGCTTCTGTGACCTACTGTAATACTAATGAAAAACTTGAATTTTTTGATGGGCTTGCTCTTGAATTGAATAGGATTCTGAATTTCAGATGATTTCTGAGAGTTGTGCATTTATTGAATACTGATTTATTGGAGACAATCTGTATCTATTGTTATTTGTAAATTTTATTTTTGTCATTTCTCCATTTTGTCGGATAACCGATAATTCAGATGTCTTCATTTTGAAATTTGAACTAAACTAATTCATCATCTAGTGCTAGATTTACAACTATTATAGCTACACCAAATATAAACCACACTCAAATGTGTGATTTAGTGGGGGAATAAATGACAATTATTGCTGTAATAACCAAAAGTGGGAAAGGAACTATATAAAGATCCCACCTTTGAATGCCACACAAATACCTTTCCCTAATTCCAATACTCATACCCAATCTTTCAAACTTTCACTTTATTATAAAGTAATGTGAAGNACAAAAAAAAAAAAAAGGGATTAAGGAATTGCCTTTATTCTATTTTATTTATATATATAGTACATTCTTGTATTGGGAATTTGGTTTTGATATTTTAAAGTGGTCTACAATAGTTTGCTAATCATTTTTATTGCAAAGTTTCATGGTTTCATGGGATTGGTGACCACATGACACTTTATTGGGGTCATGAATAATTTATGAATAAGTTTCCTAATCACATGTTCATATCATCCTCCATTATATGTCACTCCAAATTGAATTTATTTTTTCTCTATATAATATGCTAATTCATATTCATTATTTATTTCTTTATACTATAATTCTTTTTGTTTTTATCGGACTAAGTGGCTTTGTCCCATGTAAAGACTTGATTTTTGTGGGGATTCTCATATAGTGGGAATTTCACCTTAATGGTACGTACAATATGAATTAGGATTAACAGACATGGTCAAGTCACATATTGCTGCTATTCATCAGTCACTTGTGTTCTTTCATCATACATGCACACTCACACGTCCATTTCATACTTCAATTTTTTTATACCATGTTCTTTTAGGTTTGTTCAATNCAATTACAACGAATACTAAGATTATAGCGTACAATTATATACACAATCAAATGGAAAAAAAAAAACTAGTAATTATGAATATAAATACATAAATATTTTCAAAATGTGTCGGGTGCTAGATGAGTCATTACTTACTCCTAGACATGCATAAACATTTATAAGGGAGTTAAATTGTAATATTGTTTTAATAAAAAAATATGTATTTATGCTATACATACTTTTATCTATGTTATTTTTTACAGTACGATCTTTCGATTTGAAAATATGTATATTTGTTAGAAAAAAATTATAATGGTGTAGTCATTCATTTTGACTAACAACAATTTTACATTTTACAAATTGATAAATAAGTGGAGTCCAACAAAAATAAAAAAGCATAAAAAAACCAAAGCCTCAAGGGCTAAAATAGCATTGTATGTTGGTCAAGATATGCCATATATAGGAGCCTATGGTCTAAAATGTTATAGAACTTTAATATGTTGCCTAATGAAAGGTAACAATCAAGTGAGACCGGGTTGGATACTCACGCACTTTTAACCTCTAATTAATTTAACATTTAATATTATTAATTAGTCATTATACTAACATATTCTTAGCCGAAAGTTCTAACAAAACATATACTTCATCATTTCGTGTTTAAATTGTGATTTTGGATTCTTATGATTTTTATCATTTCTTTAAAGTATTTGAATATTGTGAACATCCACATGCAATCATGCATGGCTATAAATTGTTCTCTGATATTAACAATGTTTATTTTTCTCTTCAAGTGATGTTATAATATTTTGAGAGTTCATATTATTTTCAAAAGTAATAGTCAAAATTTGACGTAAAAAATTAATTTGACGTATCATATATGAAAACTTGATATATGAAAGAACGTTAAAAAAAGATGTATCATATATGAAATATTGATAAAAATAATAAAAAAATTATTAAATTTTAGAATATATATTAACTTAACTCGAAGATAGTGTTTTATAAATTTAAAAGTAGCAATACACGAGCTATATAGTTCACATTTATTTAGACTTATCAAAGATACTAGAATTTGAAACGTAAAATTATCAAAACACCAAAATTAATATTTACACACCACAAATGATTTGCAAAAAACAGTGATGAGATACTAATATCTGACTAGATTTGAAGCCTGATTAATAATTAAATATAGGGAAGCCGGCAAAATAGTGGGGCGTGGGAGTGTCGACGTGGCAAGCTCTGAAAAGACGTGTCGACTAAATGAGGGGCAGTTGTGGGTCCCACCTTGGCCAACAACGGTCGGACGTCACACACTTTTACTTTGGTAATGAAAAAAAGTGCTATTGCCACACCACCCTTTTATTGGTTTAGAGTTTAGAGACGCTAATATATTTCATTTTAATTATCTGTACCAAATTGACCTCCCAAATATGTGGGAGTAGTGATTGATATAATAATAATAATAACAATAGTGATTGATATTATAAAATAAAAATCATATTTATCCGGTGGTTAACTATCTTAAAATACAATTTTTGTTCATCTTCCCATTTTTTTCTTCTTAATTTTGCCAATATAAAATTTTAAATAAAATTAAATCATTGCGCTGTAGGATAAAATGTTTTTATTCAATTTGATCATATGTTTTCTAAAGGACACTCATTATTAATTTTTTTTTTCTTCTTCCATGTTTTCTAAAATCATATATGTTTTGTTAAGAATTTAAACATTACCCACTAATCCATTATTATTCACAACTACAATCTTAATTAACTAAATTTGCTAATTGATTTATATTTTTTAAGACTAATTTCACAATAATTTTTTTCAATAGGATTAATGATACATAAAAATTAAAAAGTTAAGAAAACATGTCTGATGTTTCATTACAACTAAATACTAATTTGAAACAAAGATTGAAATTAATAATTTTTCCTTTTTCTAATTCTAACTTAACATAAATTTTCACAAATCCAATCCGAACCATACCGGCACTTATTATTCTAATTGTCATGAATCTTCATATTGAACCAACATTCTATATACAACAAGTAAACTATACTATATTTTCTGATACTTAAATAAATACTAATAACTTGATTGATATGGTATGATTTACTTGTTGTATATAAAATGTTGACTCCAGTATGTGGCCAATTGTTGGCTTCATAGCAAAACTGTATAGTTATATTGACAAGCACACCAAATTATACAAAGTAAATCACTTGATATAGATGCATCTAATCTGGTTTAATAAGTTCCAAACACTACTAAAAATAAGAGAGGGTATTTTCGTCTTTCCATATATATCATCCAGCTGAACCCCTGGCCCCCCACCCCTACCCACCCACCCCCACAAACTCATCTTTTTTCAGCACTTATTAATTATTATTATTATTATCACAGTGAAAGTGAACACATGACAAAAGCGCCCATAGCCCCTAAACAACACAAAATATACACTCAGAGAAAGAAAGAAAAGGCAATCTATCTTCCTCTCTCAACAAATTTTCCATATTTACAGTCATTCCTCTGAAGAAAAAAAAAAAANCTGACAAACATAATCAAGAATCTCCTCATTTTTATTTTTTTTATTATTTCTCATTCTCCTGCTGCTGTTATCTTTGGAACAAGGAACAAGAATCCCTCGTCACATGTTTCTGGTTCATGAAGGGACACAAAGATTCATGTTTTTTGCTTTTACACGGAGGTATTAATTTTGGGCGTTTATGGGTTTTTGCTGCTTCCCCTTTAGTTCATCTGGTTTTGCTTTTGGTCAAGTGTAGTTTTTTCGTGTATAATTGTTGGCTGTATTTTAGCTTCCAGAACATTGGGAGATAATGTGCAGACAACTACTATAATTCTTTTGTTAATTTTGAGGTGGGTTTTTAGATTCTCACACTATTTTACAAGTTAATGGTGGAGGATTTTAAAACCTTAGTCATTTGTCCAAGTGAGGTTTTCTCAAGGATTTGCCTTTTATATAACCAAGCAATAACGGTATTTGATTTTGGAGAACATGTTAGTGTACCCATTTATGGTATTACAAGTGACAATTTGAAACTTAATCCCGAGTCTGTTTTGGTAAACCACAAGATCTGCCTTTATTATGCACTCTAAGTCCTCTGTCATAAGATTACATTGTTTTTTCTTTTCTTAACTACATTTAAATGCACTTCCTATTTGTTTTTCTGATTCAGAGTTAGAGAACAGCAGTCTTCTTGATGGAATGCCCTTTATTTTTCTAGGACTCAATCTTCTGCTAAGTTACCTTTTCTGTTCCTTCTGTTTATCAGCTAATTTACCAAAAATTGTTTAATGTAGCCACATTTTCTTGCTTCTTGTTGGCAGATTAATCTCACAAGACACAGAATAATTCATTAATGATAAACAGTTTTGATTGTCAATGGAGAATATGAATATCCTCGAATCACATTCCCGCTCGAGGCAGTTTCCCAAGGTGAAAGAATCTCATCCCGTATTGTTCGAAGAAGATAACCACAAACCCTCCAAACCAAACGAGCCTCATCAAGCATGGAAAGGCAAGAAATTCCTACACGAAGAAAACGAGAAGGAAGAAGAGCTTATGCCCGACATTCTCTCCTTCAAAATTAGCCAAGACTCGTTCGACGAAATCGGCTCCACCTCATTCCACGGCGTGAGTCACCCTCCCGAACCCAAAGACACCGCCTTTCTAAATCCCGTCTGTCTCCCAATCGGCCACAAAAACCGAGACCCCACCAAAAAGGAGCCACCTTTCTTGGTCCCGAGTAAAAATCAAAGCACGCTAACACTTTCACCTTCCGTGACAGCTGTCTCGTCCCCATTCGCCGAGGAAAAAGAGTGCGTATGGGACTCCTCTCTACCTCCGAGCGGCAATGTGAGTCCTTTAAGCAGCATCGATAGTCTTAGCATGGCCCGGACAATGAGCATCGTCAATAGCTCTGCCAGCACGTACAAAAGTGAAAACGGGATAATGAGTGAAGGCACAAAAATGAGTGTGAGCCGCGCGAGTGACAGTAGCGGGATAAGTGACGAGAGCAACTGGAGTAAAACAACGGGGAGCGCGAACAAGCCTCACAAAGGAAATGATCCTAGGTGGAATGCAATACTTGCAGTTCGGGCAAGGGATGGGATTTTGGGCATGAGCCATTTTAAGTTGTTGAGGAGGCTCGGGTGTGGGGATATAGGGAGCGTGTATTTGTCTGAGCTGAGTGCTACTCGGTGCTTCTTTGCTATGAAAGTGATGGATAAGGCTTCGCTTGCTAGTAGAAATAAGCTGAATCGAGCGCAGACTGAGAGGGAGATTTTGCAGCTGCTGGATCATCCATTTTTGCCGACTTTGTACACGCATTTTGAGACAGACAGGTTCACGTGCCTAGTCATGGAGTATTGTCCTGGTGGGGATTTACACACGCTGAGGCAGAGGCAGCCCGGGAAGCATTTTTCCGAATATGCCACACGGTATGCGTATATATTTTAATTTTCAGTCATTTTCAGTAATTGGTTTTTTTTGTGTTTTTTTAAAGGTTCTTTTAGTGTGAGTTGGGGCCTCTGCATTAAGNAGCATGAAATGGCTGTTCATAAGTGTAATTTCAGTAATTGTTCACATTTCTGTGTGACATAATGGAACTGCTAGATATTTTGTCTCCAGTGAATCTCACACTCCCAAATCTTACAAAGCTATATATAGACCTTAATGCCCATTCCATTTTGCCTATGTTTTAGCTCGTCCGAAGACAAACCCTTTTGCATACTGAGATTGATTACAATTTCCTGGAAGAGCCATTGCGCACCGTATTTACCGTATTTCATGGGGACTGTAGCTATCTGTTCTTCATAAGAGTCTTGACTGATGAATATAGTTTTTTCCAAGATTCATGTGTCAGTATTACACAATGCTACAGCAAACAAAACCGTAAATCCGAATTTATTCTCTTCTAACTTGAACTTTTTAACTTATTTTTTCCATTTTCGCGTGAAATGGTGGTTCATAAATGTAATTTCACTAATTGTGCACATTTCTGTGTAACATAACGGAACTACTAGATATTTTGTCTCCAGTGAATCTTACACTCCCAAATCCTATTTCATGTGGGCTGTAGCTCTCTGTTCTTCACAAGAGTCTTGAATGATGAAATATAGTTTTCGCCAAAATTCATGTGTCGGTACTACACAATACTACAGCAAATAAAACCGTAAAAATTCGAATTATTTTATCTCTGTGGCCTTGAAGATTTTTCTATTCCTAACTTGAAAACTTATAACCAGGTTTTACGCGGCCGAAGTCCTACTTGCATTGGAATACCTCCACATGCTGGGAGTCGTGTACCGTGACCTAAAACCCGAAAACGTCCTCGTTCGAGACGACGGCCACATAATGCTCTCGGATTTCGACCTCTCCCTCAAATGCACCGTCTCCCCAACCCTCCTCAAAAACTCCGCCTTCAATCCCGAACGTGGGCCCGCCTTCTGCGTGCAGCCCACTTGCATCGAGCCCACATCCTCCTGCATCATCCAAACCTCATGCTTCCTCCCTCGAATCTTCCCCTCAAAGGGGAAAAAAAAGCCCGGAAAGTCAAGGCCCGAAAACCAAGGCCCGCGGCCCGGAAGCCTACCGGAGCTCGTGGCCGAGCCAAACGCTCGATCAATGTCATTTGTCGGGACTCACGAGTATTTGGCTCCCGAAATCATTAAAGGTGAAGGTCATGGGAGCGCGGTCGACTGGTGGACGTTCGGGATTTTTCTTTACGAGCTTTTGTACGGGAAAACGCCGTTTAAGGGCTCGGAAAATCGGAAGACGCTTTTCAATGTGATTGGGGAGCAGCTGAAATTTCCGGATTCGCCCTCGACGAGTTATGCGAGCAGGGATTTGATTCGGGGGCTGCTCGTGAAGGAGCCGCAGAACAGGGTGGGGATGAGAAGGGGGGCGAGTGAGATAAAGCAGCACGCGTTTTTCGAGGGAGTGAATTGGGCTCTGATCAGGTGCAGCACGCCGCCGGAGGTGCCGAGGCCGCCAGCTGTCGAGGCGGAGGTTTCGGGGAAGGTGGTGGAGTTGGGTGGTGGGGTGAGCAAAAGGGTGGTTGGGGGAGGAGATGTGAAGGGTGGGGGGGCTAAGTTTCTGGATTTTGAGTTCTTTTAAGGGTTGTTACTTGTTGTTATTATGGGGAAATGAAGATATTATAGGATTTTTCTTGTTCTTGTGATTTTCTTTTGTTTTTTTTTGGGTCTGTTGTAGTTTTGTTATTAACTTATTATTGCAATGTGGGTTTATTTTGAGGGCTGCAATCTGTATGACTTCATTATTGATCTTTTGCTAATGGATGGATGGCTTTGCAGTTGTTATTGCTACTAGCCTGAATAATGTGTTGATTTTTTTAAGTTAGATTTTGATGTTACATAAAATTAAGTTTTTTGTCATTTTTGTAAGGAAATTTTAAGTTTTTTATTATACATGCAGAGTTCAGTCATTAATCAATTGATTAATTAAGGGCATGCTGGACGTTAATTTATTTTATTTGTTTATTTTATTGGAATTTGGAAGTCAGTATATACAAGATGAGATATAGTTCCTTTTGTACTAGGGACCATTACAAGTTGTTTTCGCTGGTTGGCTCTTTTTATCTGGTCAAAGCATACATGACATGAGCATGCATATGTTACTTCATTTTCTTGGATACTTATTGCCTTGTCGTTTTAAGACATTGTTGGTCATAATATATTACAAGTCTTTGTCGTCTGGAATGAGAAATCAGAAAGGGATTGATCGATTTTGGGACGATTACAGCCATTGAATTTTGAATACCCCAAATTCATTCTTCAATGTTTTTTAATGCACATAAATCTCCTGCTCATTTGACGCATTCCACAGCTTTCTATTACACATGCATTAACATTGTGTGGATTCTGTTGAAAACACACTTGAGACTTCAAATAATCGAGCAATAAGCATTTTATAATTTTTTTTTTCTTTTTTAATTTTTCATGCCCATTCTGTTACCATTTGTCATTTGAACTACCCATGTCTTTTAATTTTATCTCTAGGTGTAGCAGAGTCGAGCCAAAATCGAGCTTGGGCTCGTGTCTTTATCGAGTCGAGCATTTAAATATTAACGAATCGAACTTTAGACTTAACGACTCGAGCTAACGAGCCAAGCTAAAGTGAAAATTCAAGAATTACGTAAAAATCCTTATATTCGAGGCTTAACAAATCTTAATGAACCGAACTCAACTTATTTGATTGGCCGAAGTGAGCTTACAAACACCTCATCTCATTTGTACTTTTTCAGTTCGAAAGCACTAAAGTTTTCAATGATTTTTCCACTAAAAATTTTGATTTTATAAGCTTGGAGCCTACCCTGCAAGAAGCAAGACAATGCATGGGCTCGAGATCCAGGTTAGCTACAAATCAAATTCCACACCATGCCCCGTTTAACAATACAAATATAATTTGGCTTATATCATTGGGGACATGCATAGGCCATCAGACAAACCCTTGACAAGTCGAATTTGCCAGCAAACCATGCTTTCTTAGTTCCTTCTAATTGTCGTTCCATTAGGTTTCTTGAGAAATTTCAACAATGACTCATCAAACTTTGTTCAGAAGTTAAAAGATGCACTTAATGCTCTCTCTTAGGCGTAAAGAACAAAAAATATGAACTTTGAATCATAAGAATGGAATCATCGATCAATGGCTCATCAGATATTGATTGGATAGTCTACTAAAAGACATCAATTTGTTACACCGACCATAGGAGGAATTTTAATCTACAAATTTGGAAGAATTTCTTACAATGGTTGGAGTGAAATATGAGATAATACGATCAAGTTACTTTTGTTCAGCCTGAAGGAGTGAAAAACTTAACTTCATACAGTAATATGACGAGAGCAATATGGACAATCAATTGAAACATTTTTATGCACCCAAAGTATCTTTTCCAGACAAGCAGCGAAAGAAGAGTATTATTTTTTCACACGGAGTCATATAAAAACAAATCCACATGTATCATAGGAATAGCTAAAGTACTGGTCAGAAAAGCCTCATCTAAATTATGAGGGTTTCAGAATATATGTTGCTTTGAAATGGTCATTGAGTCTCATACCACAGTTTGTGGGGAGGAATTTGTCACGAGTTCATCTTTAGGAAAGCCAAAATTTTCGAACAGGCCCTGAAATATTAGAGAAACAACGCACATCCACTGAGTGACATGCAACACAAATGGGTAAGGCTTCACTTCCAAGAGAATTAGTGTTTACCAGAGCATCGTTGATGGCACAGGTCACACAATAATGCTCCTGAAATAAGAAAATTTGTATATTTATTCACTAAATTAAATATGATTAGCCAAAGATTTCCTGTCGCATATAATGGGTGTTCATGGAGTGGCGTACTCATAAGAGGCAAACAGAATCATGCTATAAACACATAATTCAAGAAAACGCCGACACAATAAACACATGGCAAGATAGTGTTCACACATGCCATCATCCTTTAAATCATCAATCTTTGCACTGACACGACATTTAATTTCAACCTTTGTATCAAACTTTTAGGTCGAAGTAGCATTTTCAGCAAGACTGAGAAAAGGGCCATACTTATGCATTTTCAGCATTTTTATACCAATCTTCGCACTTACACGTCAATGATTACGCATGCAAGTTTAGTCAAAGGGCCATACTTATTTCTTAAAGATTTACAAATGACTTGCAGCAATTCAAGGCTTGTGCTCATTTTCATTTTCTTGTAGTAATATTTTGTACTACAAGGGGCACTTATTTAAACCAGCATACAAACCATCTGAAAACTGTGTCGGACCATAAAATAATAACACTATATCAAAAATCAGCCTAAAGAGGCTTTATGTACTTGCCTGCATCATGTACCACTCTTCAAATTCATCAAACAACTCCAGCCGTTCAATCCTAATCAAGGTAGAAGAAAAGAATGATTAAAAAGAACCTGAAAATGAATCGAACGTTAAAGACATATTCACATACACTTTATAACCATGCAAATGAGAAAAAGCTGGATCTCCCAAATGCAACCCAAACTACTCGGACAAAAGTACTTACAACGTTAAGTTCCGTGTTTGACTTTATTTTACTTATATGACTACCAAAAAATGAAGTCATGAAAGCATAATAATAATCCACTTAGAGGATATATTTTACTTTTTTAACAATAGTGATTGTGTATTCTTAACTGTGAAAAATAGTTGTCATAAGCCTAACTTTATGGGACAGGAGTACAATTTTCCTTCCCATTCCAAGTCTAGACTCTGAGAAATTATTATATTATATATTATAGAGGTTACTGAATCTAGTATAAGCCCTTCATCATCCAACAATGTGTTGTACATTATCAACTCACGAGGGTGAAAAACAAAGTGTCAGCGTAACTTGAGCAGTTTCTTGCTAGATTAAGAAATATATGTACCTTCGTCTTTCTTCAGCTTCAATGAACGTTCGATAAACTTTCAACATGTCCCATGCAACAGCTCTCTAGGGTATCACAGAAATACGGGAATAAGATTGGAGTTAAGGAAACAGTCTGTCAAGCTCTAACAATGGAGAAAGTAAAAAAGAGAAAACATTCAAAAGAATATAGGCATAGAGAAGCTACTAATTGCAGTCTCTGCATGTCTGTAAAAAAGAAAAACCTGAGCCTAATAGCTGTGCTATATACATGAGACCAAGTAATGTGTGCTGCTTGTTCATTCCTACAAGGCGCTACACTATCATAAATGGACTATGATGATTTTAAATTTTCAGAATAGCCCATCTTTTGAGAAATAAACCCTAAAACCCAAATCTCAGCAAGAAATATTCTCTTAAATAGCCTATTCCCTAAAAGAAAGTACCAAACAGTCTCACAAAAAATGTCCTTCACAGTTTCATATTGTACACCACGTATGTGTATGCCGAACAACTGAATTTATTTGCAGGAATAAAACTCCACCTTCCCCTAATAGAAAAAATAGCTTCTATATTTTTTTACTCTGTTCACTAAAAACATTGTAGTTGTGTCTTCTTTTCTAACTTTTCTTTCAGAAAGAAAAATCAAAAGTAACTGACCTTTGATATGTTCAAATGTTAAACTAATAGGCCTTCTGAGCGAACTTAAATAACTCTTCTCCAATTTGGTTAGGTAACATGCAAAACAAGCCATGAACTTTCCGTCTTTTATCAAATATGCCGGATACGAGCGCAGTTGCGTGACATCTTACATAATTTGGAAACCATGATTTTAAAATCATAATTAGAAAATACCTGCCATCCTTGATCAAGGAAAAGCCTCTCCTTCGCATGTAAAGTTGGAGTAGCATAGATGCCCAACAGTGCACATCCCCGACTCTGATGAAAACACATTTCAGTCCACTACCATGTTGAACTTTTTTCACATTATATTATTAAGTGATGATTTAATTTCTTTTATGATGAGAATATAGTACCATCCTCTTTCTTACAGAATCACCAGAAGTACGAATTGTAAATATTTATAGCACAATAATAATTCAGGATGAGAGACGATCCGAAAAACTCTAATCGATTTTAATGTGATTTTGTCCAAAAAGAGAGAAGCATTCGAGCATACAAACAAAACAATGAACAGTTGGATTAATCGGCTTAGTAAAGAACAAGATCAACAAAGTTTCAGTTGTTCTTAGCTGAAGAAAGTGTAAATGATTCCACAAGTTGATAGATCAAACCACGCAGCTAGAGTTCTATGAAATTCCTTTGACTGATCAGTATCTCATAGTGCAACTCATAGTATCAAGCTTTTTCAACCCCAAACCAAAATATACGTTGTCCGTCCCAAAACAATAATCCATGTTTTTATTTAAGGAGTCCCATAAATAGTCTTGTCCCCTTAAATATAGTATTTTATCGAATAGTCACTAAATAAAATTATGATTAATTTGGAATATGTTTTATTTTCCCAATAACCATGATTGTGTTTTCTTAAACTGTGTGGAAATTATCTTAAGCCTATCTTGTGGGTTAACAAGGAGTAGTCTTTTATAATATTCATTTTGCATATGAAGTTGAAAATTTGCTGTCTTTCACCTGCACTAGCGATGAAGAGGTGATAAAAAAGAGTCACCCAAGTCCTCCGAATTAAATTAACTGATGCTGAAGACGATATTATTTGTTTTCACTTTTCAAACTTCAAAGTCTAACTGTTACAAACTAGATCTGCTTCTTGACTGATGATAACTAAAGTAACAAGAAAATGCATTAGTACCTCCAGATTTCTTATCATTTGTTGACCGAAAGCATCATCAGGATGGATCTGTTGGCAGCAAAATGTATTCTCAGAGCAGTGGAGGAAAATAAATGAAGTAGCCAAAAGAGAATAGATAATATAGTAGTAAACACGAGATCAAACATAGCAAATCACACAAAGATCAGACGACAGAAAAGTTCCATAACCTGTTCATATAAGAAAAATATAGCTGTTGGAAATGTTCTAGAAGCCCATCCAACTATATCGCGGTTTGACTCAGGATCTAAGTAAATAAGAACACATTCTGCGATAATAAAAGTCGGCAAACTGATAATAGCATTAGAACAAAGGTGAATAATAGAAGTTGGCAAATTAGTAATAGCATTACTATTCAAGGAAGGCAAAGCCAGAATTCAGATCTTTGTGGGTGGTTCAAGCGGCATTAGAAAGAGAATGATGTCAAATTATTATAGCAAACACACATACCTCGGATCTATGCCAGCCAAAGAAATTATATCATCAAGATTCTTAATATCACGCAGGTCGACAGGGAGGAGTTTGTAGTGATCTCCTAGCACTTGTCCTGTCTCTGAACAAGTTCAGACAGTTCGTAAACTAAGAAAATAATCTTATTGAGCTAAAACAACGGACAGTTCCAATATTAATAATATATGGTGGAAAATGTGAATACAACCACATTTAAAGGTACACCATACAAATATAACAAGAAATAAAAATTTTAAATCCACACCTATTTTTTTTGAGGAACTTTGAAATTCTAAGTGTATCTAATAAAATAGGAAAGGAATGGATAGCGACAATATTTGGTAAAAACATAATTATCTTGTTATGTTAGAAAATATAGGCCTTCCTTTGAGGATATTTGCAAGAGAAGTTATAGGTTGGCGTTCCACACATTTGAAAAATAATCAAATGTCTCATCACGATTGCAAGATATAGAAAGTAAGAGTTGTATGTTGAGTATCCCATAGTTTTAAATGTAAAGGATCTTCACGTCAGTAGTAATTATTCATACCTTGTGAGAATGAGAAATCAAATATCTCATCATGATTGCAAGATAGAGAAAGTAAGGGTTGTATGTTGAGAATTCCATAGTTTTAAAAGGGATGATCTTGATGTCCTAAAAAATTATTCTTACCTTGTGATATTGATGCAGCTACACCGACCTTGCTCCTCAACTGAACCGAGTTCTCTACAAGAGCAGCTTTCTTGCTCGTCACCTATTAAAGCACCATGACATGAGAAGAGAGAGCCACCATATAAAACTATATAGAAGTTTCAATCAAGAGGCTTTATCATTACAAGTAATGACTACAGGTAACATAGATAAAATCAAAGCAGAATTGACATTGTCAAACTTAGTTGATTTTTTTAGATCAAAACAGTAAATACAGAGAAGAGATAGAGACTCTTATGGAGAAGGAAAGGATAAATAATTATAATAAGACATAATTTTCACCTCTTTGAAATCCAATTCCACATAAAGATGAGGTGCTTTCCCTTCGTCCTGTAAAAGACAAACAATTCAAATGAAGGTGCGTGACTTGCACTTTACTGGTTAAGCTTAATATATTACGGCAGCCACAATAGTGAGAACATTCTTCCAAATTGTGAGGTCCACTACTCCACATTATTCCTCGAATATCCACATGCCACAATAAAAAATCTGGCAACCCAAATATGGGCGAGCCACTTCACTGATATTAAAACACTAAACGAAAAACAAAACGAGAGTAATAATAGTATAAAAAATGCTGAGATAGATGTCCAGGGTCTAGCTTAATGCCCTAGAATTGACATTTTCGCACGAGACATTATCCTCCACAAGTGTGGGGAAAACATTCAGTCGCGGGCATTTGGGTAGATAACCTTCCAAATGCACCCTATAAGGAGTGCTCTTGAGAATATAACAATAGCAAGAAGGGATAGCAACACTATATGCAAAGCAAAGTTCCCAGGTGCCGCAAGATGCATTGAGTAACTAACCAAAAATGGCTATTAAGAAAAACAAAACAAAAAAAAAATTATCATACAAAGAAAAGATCCATCAAATTCATAAGCAGCGTGGAAATTAAATAATATATCATATGAAAAACTCAAAAACACCTTCAGTAGGAAAAATGTAGTATCGAAGCCAGCTCCAAGAGACAATATTTGCTTCTTGTTACTTTTCTCATCCACATTTTCCCCACAGTCAAGAAACTCGTAAAGAAGTTTCTTAAGTGCCGCATACCGAGCAAAATATCCTTTACATACAACACAGAAAGAAAAAAATTAAAATGAAAAAAATGTTCAATGATAACAAATTTAAATTAGAACTGGAAGTTGAGGGAAACATATGAATCATACCACGATTAATTATAGGGGATCTCCTCACAGGCCTTTTAACGAACAAATGGATGTAGTCATCTTTCATATATCCCTTCTTGACGCACGACCTTTAGCACGTAAATACGGGATCATAAGTGAGAGTTAGCACAGCTGAATACTGATAGCACTGTTCACAGCGAAACTATGACAAAATAGATTTATAGAAATTACATATACAATGTATCAGATGGTTATGCACAACCATCACGACAACAAAAAGGATTTTGGATTCCTTGCTGTCAATGGATGTTTTATCTATAAAAGCCACGTTCTGTTGTACAAGTTATGTAGAGTATCATAGCCTGCTATTACCTATAAAATTATATCACGGATCATCAGCTACTACCTTCCTTCTCCCATTGGCTATTTGAGCGAGAATAATCTATTTCAGTACTGCATTGTTTTCACACTAACCAAAAGTTTCTTTCTCCATTTTTTTTTTTCAGAATATAAATCTCCTTATGATGTCCAGAAAACCCATTTTTGTGCTTCAAATGGATACCCATCTTAAGCATTCAGAAACAGAACAGGGTAATTTAAACTTGGTAAACGGTGTTATACATTAAGGAAACAATAAATTATACACTTGAGCTAGTAGTGTTATTTATATGTGTGTCAAACAAATACAGGAAATTAACTGATCAAAAGTAATTGTATCCCTTACATCACGTTCCAAATGGCTAGAACAAACTGAAAGTCGAACTACACATTGCTATAACAAATTGAAATTTGAACTACAGATTACTACCAGTCCAAATGGAGTACACAGGTTAGTAGCATTTGGTATAGAACAGATTCAAGCGTTCACCGAGAGAACAAAAACTGAGGTAGAAAATAATATCTCAAAAAGTATAAGATCGGCCACTTCAGTCTGAACAATCTCCCAGGAATTTAAACCGAAAATCTGAAATTCTACATTACAGCTCTTCGTCTACCAAATTTATTGAGCTTCCTCCGACAATTTGGTGCATTTCATGAAAAATCTAATTTTAATCAGTTCAACTGAGTTATCTGACAAAAAATGGAACACAGATGCATAAAAGAAATGAGAGGTCGTACAGCTTGCTGGCGGAGGCGTCGTCGTTGGTGGCCTGGACCGCCGCTCGGTTGCTCCGGCTATCGGCCGCCGGTTTCGCCATCAAATTAGCATAAACGCGCGCACGCAGGCACACACACAAATGAAGGAGATTTTTTTATGGATAAATTGGTGAAATAGTGCGTGTTATTTCATGGTAATGTAATATAAATAAAAATTCATTTGATAAGAAAAATTATAATTTTATTTTTCAATTTAATTTGATAAATAAATTTTATTTTTCTTTGTAAAGATGATAAAATTAATTTTTATTTTATATAAACACTAAGATTGTCAACTCAAATATTTTAATTGCATTTATAGACTATAAATATGTGATTAAAAGAATAACAAAAGCAATAACATATCACTATCAATTTTATTNGGCCAATGGCCTAAGCTAGTACTCGACGGGGATATGACACCCCGATATTATCATGTTCGAGCCATGGTCCCAATCCCACAGAGGAGAGGTGATTCGGTGCAAACCAATCGGGTAGGTTGCTGCAAGGCTCGCTATGTGATCAGCCGCAAAATTTGCTTCCCTATGTACGTGTTGGACTCTAATATTCCATTCTCGTTGGATCATATTCCGAATGGCCTTAACCGTCGCTTCATGGGGTCCGAGTTCACCTTCGGTGCCACAAACTATTTTTTTCATGCAACGGCTATCCACCTCGGCGATAACTTGTCTATATCCCTTCTGCCAGGCCAAATGTAAGCCCTGAAATAAGTCCCATAGTTCAGCACCCGTAATGGTGCAAAAACCAATATTTAGGAGAAAACCCCCGATCCAAGCTCCCGATTCGTCTCGAATAAGCCTGTCCGCACAACTCATCCCTGTTGTACAATTATGGGCACCATCAGAGTTAACCAGAGCCGGTCCAGGCCCAGGGCAGCCTGGACTACGGCCCAAGGCCCAAGTGAAAGGAGGGGCACCAGTAGTAATGCATTCTACTTTATATATATTTATTGTATATATTACTGAGTCCAAATAATGGTAAATAAAAGCCCAATTTCTCAATCCACTACACAATTTTGAGTCATACACTACACACTACACTCGAGGCAGTCACTTCCGTCTCCCTACTGCCAAATGCCCTCAGGATTATAATATATATAAAAATGTAAATAAAAGCCCCAATCTAATGAAGACTCTAGCAAAAAAGAAGGCCCATCTTTAGGTCATCTCCACCCTTTATCTCTACTCTAGCGCAGACTTTACTCTATTCTAGAGTAGAGTGAAACAAAAATCAAGTTTCGTCTCCAGCCCTTATCTCTACATTTTACTCTACATCAAATATGTTATTTTTTATTTGTTACCAAATAATAAAAATATGTTTATGTGTAACAACACGAGACTAGACTGCTTCATAAATACAAATTATATAATACTACAAATCTTTGCTTCATAAATACAAATTATATAATACTATAAATCTTTTGTTTTATTGTGCTAATTTTTTTTTCATGTGGAACTATTAAAATTTACAAAAATAAACTAAAATACATCTATAAATAAAACCACCAAATTATTTAACATTCAAAATACATTTACTAATACATATTATACAAAATTTAACATTCAAAATACATTTACTATATTATATAAAGAATTATCAATAATATGAAAAAAAAAAAAAACAAAAGCAAATGTCTAGCGGTGAACTACAGTACATCTCCACATGTGGAGATATACTATTCACATATGTGTAGTAGCGCAAATTTACAGCGCAGCACTGGAGAAAAAATAGGGACACAACTCCAGCGAAATCACAATTTTGGCGCACCATTGGAGGTACTCTTAGTCTCGATCTTGCTCTCCGACTTCTCACCGTCCCATATCCGCATATCTCTCTCATTCCAAAATTCCAACGGGTGAAGTTAATTAATTTTATAGATTATAAATGGTCTTTTGAATCTTTGTTTTTCATATTCAGATTCAATTCCACTTTTTGTTTTCTCTATTTCATCTGCTTATTGGTGTTATTCTTGGAAAAAGGTACGGAGATGGGGTGTTTGAGATTTGGATTTTTGCTTCCATGTTGATGAAAATTTTAATTTATTTTTATTTTTTGGTAAAATTAGTTTGTGATTTCATATATAGGAAGGTTAGTGGCACACAAGAAACTTTATTATTCGTTATGTGTTTTGGGTTTTTGATCCTTGGTTAGGAAATTTGTTTATTATATAGCTTTGAAAAGTATTGTATAAATACTAGATATTGTTTTTGCTGTAATTTAGATTTGTCATTTGTGTTTAATACTTATCATTTTCTTAAATACTAGTGTTAGATCACTATTATTATAAATTAAAATATACGTATCCATTTCCTTTAACCATAGATTTTATAAATTGTAAATTTATTTTATAAAAAGAATGTTGGATTTAAAATGTATTATTTTATTTCTTAAAGAAAAAAAAAAAAAACAAAATTCTGAGGGCATTATTTTTATATTAAGCCCAGGGCCTAATAATATGTAGGACCGGCTTTGGAGTTAACCTTTACCCACCCTTCTTCGGGCGAATTCCAACATATCATGCGTGAGACGTGAATGGGCGCTCCGACCCGCATATAGTCTGCTATCGCACGGGCGTAGTTGTCCGCTAATCGCACCACCTCCAATCTCCTAGCCTCGCTACTCTGGCTTATGTGTTTAAATATCCGCTCATTTCGCTACTTCCACGAGCGCCATACTGTTATAGCGAACACGCAGCACCAGTTTGCACAGGACTCTATCCGCTGCTGCATTAAATTTGTATGGATCCATTTTTTGACGGGCTGCTGGAAGAAATGTATGGCCTGGCCAGCTGGTAGCAATTTATCCCAAAGCTCTTTGACATTCGGGCAATCACGTACAACGTGGAGTACCGACTCCGGTTCCCCACAGAGGTCGCATGTCTCCGAAATTGATAGGTGCCTCCGCAGCCGCTCAACATTAGTAAGTAACCGTTCTTTGGCGACAAGCCACAAAAGAGCTCGAGCTCGTTGAGGGCCAGACGCTCGCCAAATAAGCCTCCATAGGGGTCGGTCATGGTCTCGATCGCTTTGCACTAAAGCTCGATACGCCGTTTTTGTAGAAAATCTACCATCTTCAGAAAATCCCCAAATAATACGATCTTCACCCGCTTCCGCTCGTGGGGGTAGGGTTCCTGCTATCCGGAGAATGACAGAGGATGGGAGGATGCCATGCATACATGTCCAGTTCCAGCCACCATTAACATCCACAAGCTCGGCCACCTTCGCCTGCATGTTTACGGTATGTATTTGTGGGTTGACAAATCTAGCTAGCTGCCCACTGGCATCAATCCAGGAATCAAGCCAGAACCTAGCTTTTTCGCCGTTCCCCAGCACCCAACAAATACCTTTGAGAATATGCGGCCAAATTTTACTTAAAGCTCGCATGAGGCGCCTAGTTCGCAGCTCCATGCTCGATGATAAATTCAGTCCGTATTTAGCCGAGAACACGCGCACCCATAGGGCGTCCGTGGTAGTCAAGAGCCCCCAGCCCACTTTCATTAGGAAAGCCTGGTTCATGTGTCGAAGGTTTTTTACTCTTAATCCTCCTTCATTTTTATGCTTACACACGTCCTGCCACGCTACCAAGTGTATTTTCTTTCGTGTGTCCAATCCACCCCATACGAATGCACGACATTTCCTCTCAAGCCCATCCGTAATTGCATTCGGCAACATGGTGGTCTGCATCGAGTAGTACGGCAGCGTGCTCAGGGCCGGTTGAGTAAGGGTAACTCGTCCAGCTAAAGAGAGCATTTTCATACGCCATCCGACTAGGCATGCCTCCGTCTTTTCCACAATATGGTTATACGTCACTTTGATCATGCGCTCATGGAGGATCGGCATGCCTAAGTATTTTCCCAAATTATTCGTTAACTTGAAGTTCATCATCGCCGCCAACCTCCCTTGTTCCTGTACCGGTACATTAGGTGAGAAGAAAACTTGTGCCTTCTCGGAGCTCTCTAAGTCCCGATCGAGTGCAATAGCCGTCTAGCATTTGTCTCAGAACACTCGCCTGATCATCAGTTGCCTCTAGGAAAAGAAGCAGGTCATCTGCAAACATCAAAAAGGTTACCGTGACCGCATCTCAGCCAACTGATATAGGTCGCCATGCACGCTACGCCACCGATTGACAGATACTATGTGCTAGTCTCTCTATACAAAGCACAAACAAATAGGGTGATATGGGGTCCCCCTGCCTAACTCCCCGTGTAGGTTGAAATTCCTCACCCATCGTCCCATTCCATAGCACATTCATCTAGGCAGAAACGATACAAGCCATGACTGCTCGAATAAACGTATCAGGAAACCCCGCTAGCCACAAGGTTTCATCAATGAATTCCCACCGTAGGTAGTCATACGCCTTTTCGAGATCCACTTTAATAACCATGAAACCCTTTGCCACACGTTTCCCACGCATGGAGTAGATTAACTCTTGTGCGATGATTATGTTGTCCGTGATCTGACGGCCCGGGACAAAGCTAGTTTGAGCGGGGTGAATTAGCATGGGCAGAGTGCTCTTCATTCTATTCACCAGGACTTATGTGAAAATCTTGTAAATCACATTGAACAAGCTAATGGGACGAAATTGTTTGATGGTGCTGGCGTTCTCGCTTTTCGGAATTAAAACGAGTAAGGTTTGGTTGATCCTGTGAGGTACCGCCCCAGAATGCCATATTTCTCTAATAAAATGTCGGGTCGTGATACGTGAGAAATCTTGTATTATTTTATGATTTAATTTACATATTTCAGTATTAGATTTTAGTGTATTATTCAAGTTTTCTCACGTATTTTATTTTATGAACGGGCGTACATCAATATTTGGATTTATTCTATTTTGCAGTTATTGCGCCTATTTGTGATGTAGCAATGAGGAGGTGGCAGCCATGTAGGTGGTGACATGGATTTAATTTTGAAATGGCCAAGGAATTAAAATAAAGAGAAGAAAAAAGGTTTGACTTTCTATGCGACCAATGACCGAGAATTGATGACTGAGGGATTAAGGATTTTGATTGCATTGGACTCTCAATTTCGGGTGAGATATTCGTGGCTTGAGTTGAGTGGAAGAATGAGAGTTTTATGGGGAGGGGGACTCTGAATTGGTGGTGTGACTTAGCAGAGAGGAAAATAATTTCATTCATCCTGTGAACTTTGGCATGCGAACAGAGAGTTGCACCAAGAGATATATTCATGCTTGCGGGGCATTAATTTTGGTCGAGTGATTTACTAAAGGAGTTTGTTATTATTTTTCTATTTTTATTTTCTATTCTCTATTTAGATTTAAGACCATGAATGATTTTTATTGCTTTTATCATTTAGCTATATGTAGCTAAACATTTATTCGGTTCTAGGGACGTTGAATCCTCGATGACTATGTTTGATTAATGCTATTTATTTCGTTTACTTGTCGCATAAAATTATTTGTGTTATTCTAGTTTCATGTCATAATGTGTGATTTTTAATTTAGCTTGATCACCTAAGTTAGGAATTGCATGTTAATTGCTAGAGTTGAGGCTTCGATCCGTAATTGTCGTAGTTCTTCATTCAATTGTAGCAACTAACAGTCGTGCATTGTTAAGAATAACACAACATAAGTTACATGAACCGAGCTTATGTGATTGTGGCTTAAATCGGTCTAATTTCCTAGATTTTAATGCGACTAGTGGATTAAATTAGGAGAGCTTATTCCGAGTTATTCGCTAGTTAGAATTAATTGAAGAGCCTATTTCAATTAAGTATAAATTAAGGAAAAATTCGGGTAGCAGAGCTTATTACTATCTAGGACCGGTAGTTTTAGAAGACGAGTGAAATTTGATAAATGCATTAATTGGGCTAGTTGTTCGAGGTTGTAGACAGACATGAGACCGATTTCATTCTCATATTCACTAGATTATTTATTTATTTTCTATTTCATCATCATTTGCACTTTGATCATTCATCTCGAGTTCTAGTTTAATTTCTTGTTCCGTTAGCCCCCCCCCCCCTCCTTTTTACTTTAATCTAATTAATATAATAAAATTACGGTTTATACCACACCCTTGCTCGCCGGGCCCACTATCTCCCAATTTTTTTGACAAAAGAGAGCATTCAAACCATCTCTGCCCGGGGCTTTAAGCAGGCCCATGCTATTCAGTGCCGAGGAAATCTCCTCATCAGATATATCGTTGGCGAGGCCCAGCATAGCATTATCGTCACAGGGAGGGAAAATGTTTTCGGGGACAACGTTCCCCGACTGTCTCGGCCCGACCGTATAGATATCCGTGAAATATTCTGTGGCTAGTTTGCTCAAGGAGTCTTGATCCGTAACTAGATTACCCTCGACATTGGTCAGCTCAGTTATACGGCCCCGTCTTCTTCGGTGTTTAATTTGCCGATGATAGTAGGCTGTATTTCTGTCCCCCAGGTAAGCCCAATCTCTAGTCGCCTTCTGTAGGAGCAGCAATTCTTCCTGACGGATAACATCCTCTAACTCCTCTCAAAGTTGTTTTTCTAGAGTCACTAGCCGGGCATTTGGGTGACGGCTTCGCTGAATGCCCTCTAAACGGACCAGTAGTTTCTTCTTGCGCCTAAAGATGTTCCCGAAAACATTGAAGTTCTATTCTTTGGCCGTTGTAGTGAAAGTCTCTGTTGTAACCAAGAAACCCCTGGACGGCTGCAACGAGTCTAGCAGCATATCTTTAAATCCTGGTTTTAGTAGCCATGCTGCCAAAAAACGAATAGGTCTCGTCCCTACCGACAGGTAGTTTTGCCGTCCCAAGTCCAGTAGAAGAGGTGCGTGATCCGATTGAATCCTCGGCAGAATGTGGGATCGAGCCATCTCGAATTTTTCTAACCAAGGGATGTTAGCTATAAAACAGTCCAACTTCTCAGCCACCCGACTATGACGGGTATCCCAAGACCAAGTGCAGCGGTGTCCATCAGTGGCCACCTCTTGCAGGCTATTGTCGAAGATCCAGTCGGTGAAGAAGGCAATTAAAATCACCTCTAATGATCCATGGTTCCGAGATAATCGTCGCCAGTCTCCCTAGGCCGACCCACAGCTTCTTACGAATTGTCGCACTAGGGCTGGCATAGATGAAAGACACCAGACTAATGTCAGCATTTTTAATAACCCTAACGTGAACCATTTGATGAGTATAATGTAGGACTTCAATCTTCACATCATCATTCCAAAAAATCCAAATGCCTCCTGAAAAACCCCGTGCTTCAATACGGAATGAGTTTTCAAATTTACTGATTCGCACAAAGTTGTCGGCATTCACCCCGCTTATGTGTGGCTAAAAAATGGCCACAATGTCAGGCTTATATTGTTGAAGTAGGGTTGAGAAAGCTCCCTGGAAAACAGGCGAGCCTGCACCGTGTACATTCCATATGAGAATATTCATTTCAAACCAAACACAATGTAGTAGGCGATCCCCTTTAGGCCAGGTTCTGGACTTGCATGTCCAAGCACTCTTCCATGCACATACGTTCAGTTGGGCTGCCTTCTGGTTCTCGAGCATGTGGATCCTCCGGCCATGGGTCTTGGCGTCTGATATTTTGCTCTCCCTCCGCCATTAGTTCATCGTCTTCGGAGGTTATAGTGATATTATTTTGAGAGATTCCTTCTGGCTGCTCTATGGCTTTTTCCTCGATAATTATAGCTCGGTGTTTGGTCGGGTCTAGTCCAGCACACACTCGTAATTGCTCTGAAGGGTTCGGGTGAAATGCCTGGGCATTGGGTCCAGTGTTACTCTTAGGCACTCCATCTTGTTTCCCCAGACCAATCGTAGAAGTAAGGTCTACCGTAGTAGCTTTGTTCAAGCTCACCCTTGGTCCAACTGTTTTATCGAGCCCACTCGGTGCTCCCGCTCTCGAGTTCCCAGGTCCAGACTTTCCTTGGTTTTTCCTTTTTCCCGACACCAGATGCCATTCTTTTTCTCCCTTATCCCCAACGCTCTTGTTTGGTATTGCACTTTCCTCCATTTGTTTGCTCCCACATGAGGATCCGAACTCGAAACAATGATTAGATTCCCTCGAAACTTCCCTATTCAAAAGCTCAAACCGGGACCCTGAACCTGTGAAGGTTGGCGGGTTGTGAGCTGCATGCGGCTTATCCGTTCCAGTATTTTGTTTAGCATAGGCTTGACGTGCACGCTGAGAGACTTAGATTTAGGGACCATACACATTGTCCCCTCCACCAATTGTCGATTCCTTAGCTGCAGTACATCCATCAACATTCTTCTCTGTCCTCGTACTTACTTCGGGTTGGGGACCCTTGCGCCCGTTTTGTGCAGCGAGATGTGCTTGGTGGGTACAAGAGTTTCCCGTGTGACCAATCCTCCCGCACTGGAAACAAATAACGGGTAGACTCTTATAAACAACTCGTTGGTTTCTCCCGTTGATAGCAAAGTTCACACAAAGTGGTTTTGTTAGATCAACCATTACCGCTAGCCTCGCGTATTTGCCACGGGTGAGGGCTGCAGTTTGTTGGTCAATCTTAACCACTCTACCAACAATCCGACCAACCATACGGAAGATCTTTTTGTGGTACAAGTGGGCAGGCGGATCCAAGTTACAGTCGCCGTTAATTCATCCTTTGTGGCATCGAAGTCTAGGGACCATGGCTGCACATGCATATAGCTGCTCCCTAACACATATGGTCCTCCAGTTAGAACTTTAACCGTGTCATCATTGTTGCGGAAGTGGACCAGATAGAAGCGGTTCTCTAGATCCGTCATTTTGCATCCCGTCATAAAGGGCCACATCCTAGTGAGTCGATTGTAGAGGGGTGACATGGTAAGCGTCTCGTCGAAGGGTTTTAGCACCACCACGTGCTGTCACTCTTTGTTTAGTTGATCGAAAAATCGTTGTGCAATAGTAATCTCTGGCATTCGGCGGGATGAGTCCACGGATACATCGTTGTCATCGTCGTTCCCCTTTCTGTCAACCTCCGGTTCCATTTCCACATGGTTTCGCTGCTTATTGACCATATCCTTAAAAGTCCATTTGCGTGGAGGCTGGTCCGATACTGGAATCTGCTTCGATTGTCGATTGGGCTAGTCCTGTTGTTCCAAATCTTCTCCAGTTCTTTTGCGAATTTTGGGTCGCTTGGTTGCTGGCAATACACTTCGGTCTAATGCTGGAAATTTTGAGTCTTGGCTGGATCGCCGCGCTTCATCGCCGGGATCAAACGTCGCCGTGCCGTCTTTGGATGTGGTGAGGTCATTTTCGGCCATTGTCTGAAGCCCTAAATAATAATTCTAGCCATTTGGATAACCCTTTAACAAGTAGAAAACATTACAATCAACAAAAATTTTAATCACATTTTATCAAATATTAACAGTATAAGTTTAATTATCACCAAACTTGTTGTAATACTTTGTTGATGCAATTAATGACTCTGTAATAATGTTTTTCTTCATGGTTCCCTTGTTCTTGAAGTCTTAAAGGCACAATTTGGATTAAATTATTAAAAGAAACAAAAAAGGAAAAATAGATTTGTTTGAAATGGTTAAAAGAAAAAAAAAAAAGTAGATTGTTTTTTTCGATAGTTCAATCACTCACAAAAAGGTCAACTGACCTTAATCAAACAAATATAGAAAGGTCCACTATAAAGTGATCTAGAACTCAAAAACCAGGCAAACCAAAACACGAGAAAGATAATCTACCTACAACCATACAAAGTATACAGAAACCTGTTGAAAAATTATCTCCTCCCACCCTAGCTTCCAAGTAGCAAAAGTTATTATCTATTGGACAAATAGCAAAAGTTATTATCTATTGGACAAACATCCCTAAATTACAACAACCAAAACCAAACAAACTTACAAGCAGAAGAAAACAACATCCAGTGCACCAAAAATAGCACGTTAGAACCAGAGTTAATTACGTGAAGAGTTACATAGGAACAACAATTCATTAATGGCAACATCTAGAACAACTTTCTTAGGCCTCCAATATTCTTGAAAAACCCAAATATTCTTAGACTTCCAAAGCCACTAAAAGATATATGTTGAAAGTTGAATTTTGTCCTTTGCTACTCTGGTCTTGTTTATAGAACAAAGCTTGCTCCACCAACCTTTGAAATTGTCTGTGTATATTTGGAGACCATCCCACTGCATATGATAAGCAACGAAGCCTTTGTTAATGAGAACATATTTTTTTTCACACTTGTTGAACCCTCTGCTTAAAATTTTCATGTTCAGCCCACATGTTGAAAAAGAAAAACTGCCAAGGTGATCCATACCTGCTATTGTGCTCGAATAAAGTGACTATGCATGGTGAGTGGTCGGAGAATCTTGGGGCTAATAAATTCACCTGACTAAAAAAGTTCTTCAGAAGCCATCGATTGTCCACCATGGCTCGATCAAACTTGGACCAAATAGTGTTATTGGTCCAAGTGTGGAAGAATCTCGTAGAAGGAATGTCCACAAGCTCGAATTTGTCACAAAAAGTAGCAAAGTCCATAATGTCTATTCGAGACGGGCTCACCGTTGATTTTTTCTTCTGGTTTGAGAACCGTATTAAAATCACCCAGAAGGAGCCAAGAAATGCTAATGAGTGACTTAGAGCTCTCCAAGTCGCGCCAAAGCTGTTTTCGAGCTCCGCTGCTATGGAAACAATAAATAAAGCTAACAAAAAAACGATGATCGCTAACATTGCTCTTGAGAGTGACAAAAATGGCTTGGGTTAGGATGTCTCCTACGAGAAGACCCACTTTTGCTGGATTCCATAGGATAGCGATACGTCCATGGTCCACTATTCCAAAGTTATCGCAAAAAGTCCATCCCTGAAGTCGGTTATCTACGAAACAAGAGACGACGACAACAATACGTTTTAGTCTCCATAACTTCCAAAAATATTCACACGAATGAGATTGGCTACCTCATCCTGTTTTAGTGGTGCATTAAGACCCCGTAATATTTCAAACGATGATTATCATTGTTTGGAGGAGGGGGCAACCCCTTTTTTCAATGTACTTGCTTTTGTCGGTTCCCTCTTCATAAGGACGATGTCCTTCATCTTCATCAATGTTATTTTCTATCCCGATTGGCTTGAGTTGTTTGTTTGACTGGAAGATTTATTTTTCTTGCTTACGAGTTTAAAGGGCTGCTCGTCGGCTTCAAAGGCTTGGGCATGTTCCAGCCCTTTTTCCTCTTCAGGATCATAGGAGCCCTTGGCCCCTTTACCCTCAGCTTTAGTATGATGCAAGTTCTCCCGGTTTGTCCCCTTCTCAAGGGACTTGTCTCCATCCTTATTAAGCATCTCATTGTCCTCGATTTTCTTTTTGGCTTGGTCGGAGGACTCAGGTATACAACCTCATTACTTGAGTGTTCATTTTGCCTCTTAGTTGCCTTGGTGTCACCCTTAGCACCTGTTGTTGTGCGTTTCACGGCCTGAGCATGGCTCCTTTTCTTCTTGGACTCATCAGGGAAGATGTAAAATTTTGATGACGGGGGCCTATGTGATTGCATCGATTGCAATAATGAGACACATATTCATAGACCACCTTTTGAGCAAAACAAATTTCGCTGGGTGTTTCCACTTGAATGGCATACTCCCGTTCCTTGGGGATGTCAATCTCTACGAGGACACGTTCATAGCTACACCTTTCTTTGGTTTCGGTAAGTTTGTCGGTGGTGATTGGCTTACCAATTCTCGAAACAATTTTACCTATGGCCTTCTCGTCCCAACATTCAAGTGGCGAGCATGGGAGATTTATCCACACCGGCACCTTCTTGATGTCGTCATCTTCAAAATGAGACCATTGCGAAAGCATTTTCAAAAAGAGACGACGACCTAAAATCGTGTAAGGTCCACCATGGAGAACGCTAGTTCGATCCTCCTCGGATGAGAACTTAAACATTAGCCACCCATTAACATTTGGGATGCATTCATACTTTACTTTCCATGAGATACAAATTTTTAGTAGGACCTCTTTGCCCGATTGTTTGTGGGTGAAATAACCTACTAGACAAAAGCCCAAGTCTCTTTAACATCATCAACGTTTTCTTCGCCAAACTCAACGCCTTTTTTCGGGCCGTGTAAACAAGCCTCAACTGTTTTCATATCCAAACCACTCTTTTACCCCAAACCAGACCGGGCGGTCCGAAAACGGGTCAAGTATGTGGTTCAGTTGGGGCTTTAGGCTTTAGCCGCCCGTGGTTCTTCAATCTTCAGACATGCCCTCAAGCACCAAGAACAAAAGCCAAACAAGATCCATTCAAATCCTACCCAAGAGGGACAGTGAATCCAGCTGCAGTTCCATCTCCAGCATTTCCTAACACTATTCATTCGAATGGATGAACACGAGATTCTCTACGCTATTTGATTCTTGATTTTATCATATATCAATCCGTATTTCCATTCATTTATTGATTGTCGAATTTTTGGAATCATTGAAATGGATATTGAGGAAAAGCAAGCGGAGCACGTAGAGTTCTTTGTGAAGCAGGCATCGAGGATGAATGGCGCGGCACTTTCAAACGTCGTCGTTGAGGCCACTAAGCACCCTTCACTCTTTGCTTTTTCCGAGATTCTCGCTGTTCCCAGCATTCTCGAGGTCTGCTGCGATCGCGTTCTTGTTGCATTATCTGTCTCTTACTTTTTCTCCCATTTTCTTCGTGTTGATTTTTATTTGACTCTACTTATTGTTGTGTAGTTTCAGGGTCTGTGATTTTCTGTTTTGCATCTTGCCAAACACATGCTATGTAAATAATAATAATAATAATAATAATAATAATAATAATAATAATAATAATAATGATGATGATGATGATGATGATTATTGACAATTGATTTTGATGTCACATTGTTAAGTTTTCTTACCTTTCTCAGAGTTTTATTATTAGGAGGTTGTTGTGGGGACAAATACATGGTGCTTGCGTAATGCCTCATTCGACTTTGACAGTATAAATATGCAATCTTGTGAAGTTTGTAAATGAGGAATTTGTTTAGTTTTCATCCTGTTTTGTATTGATTTTTCTACTTGCGTGCAGCTTGAAGGAACTGAGAATAGCATATTCCTTGATTTGCTTACCATGTTTGCACATGGTACATGGAGTGAATATAAGAGTAAGACTTGATTCTCTTCAGTTTGCTGGGCCTGTTCATTGTCTTCTAGTTATTTAGCATTTTAGCTGTTATTTTATGATTTGATTTGTGCTTTCCGTCCGTTGGATGAAGTGCTGCACATAAGTTGTCAATACAAAGTTGTTGAATGCAATAGCCTTCACCTTTGTGGACTTGAATGGCATGATACTCTGTTGAGATTTTTAGTTTATATAATAATAACTAGGTTCATGTTAAACTTGCATTTTCTCCACCATTCACTGGACTCGGAGGTTTGACTTTTCAATCCGTTATCTTTAGTTTCAACGATGACTATTTTTCAGCATTAGTGTCAAAAAGATGTAACTGAATTCTGACGTAGAGTATATATGGTAGTTCAGGTAATATGCAGGAGGTAGGTGTTAGTTGAAGTTATCTTGAATCTCCTGTCATGTCAGAACTGTGAATTCCGCTCAACATGATATAAAGTGTTGAGGAATGAGCAAGTGCCGTGTTATACTTAGGAAGCCATTTTAACTGTTGGCTTTTCTTTTAAGTATATAATTCCACTCAAGATAAAGTAAGCGTCAAGAGAACGTCAGATCATAGTCTTGTTCAGGTTGCGCTTGCTCCGTCATGTGTACTTTCACTAGATTTAATGTAAACCTTCGGTAAAATCATTACGGACTGTTAAATGAACTCTACTGGTAGAGTTTATGTGTTGGACCTAATACATGAAGCTTGAGTTTGAATTAGTGTTGCTGGACCTAGCAAGTTCCTTGGGCTGGATCGATTTACATTTATAGTTGTAATCTGAGCTCTATTGACTACTGATAATTTTTGAGTTTATGCCGTCAGTGTGGAAAAGTTAAATGCTGATACTGGTGCGTAAAGGACATAGGCTATCAATAGCAAAGATCTTTTAACAAAGATCATTTTGTGAGCATGTTTTATCATTAACAAAGTTCTTTTAATTGTTTTCCAAAAAGTAAAAAAACAACTGAATAGAAATAAAAAAAAAATTACATCTTATTTAACTAGTTTGGAAATTGAATAAATTGCAAAATAGTCACATTGAAAGAACTGTAAAAGTCAAGAGAATAGTTTCAACTAGACTTTTTTATGAAGTTAGTAGTAATGTATTTCAATGTATTTGCTTATAAGCGTATAGGCGAATCCTGTTACCATTCCCCTTTGTTGGCTGACTCCAGCTAGGAAACAGCATCTATAATATTGATTATATTGTATTATCATTGATCTCGTTACTCTGTCCCTGAACATAATTGATTGTGGGTTGCAAGTGTCCGTGGTACTTATTTAACGATGCTCAAATCATTCTTTAATGAAAAGAGAGTTCTCAGGTGGGCTCTAACGAAAGGACTAGAACTTTTGACAAGTACTTGGCTATATAGTGCTTAAGTTAGTCATTTGTTTAGTTCTCCCTCTATAAGATTTGTAACTTTGAGGAATTTATTTTTATTTTTTCCCTGAATGCCCTTTTACATTCTTGTGATCTAATGATGCAGCTATTGCTAACCGTCTCCCTCAATTGGTCCCCGAGCAAGTCCTGAAGCTGAAGCAACTAACTGTGCTTACTCTGGCTGATACTAACAAGGTAGTTGCCTTGCCATGCATCTCTCTATGTGTTTATTTGAGTTTGTTCTGCATGCTCAATACAAAATAGTCATTAAGCTTAATTGCTTTTTCGAGATAAAATGTTTGCCCTTTAAATTAATTATAATACTTCTGTTGAGCTCTTTGGAAAGTCATATGATGTACTTTGTTCAAAAGCTCATGTGACTTCATAACATCAGACATGGAATATTGTATAATAGAATTGTAAAAATTGATGATTGTGGACAGTGTATCTGAATCAAACTTACAGAATAGAAATATTCTCTCTCTACCAATAAACTTCAAGAATTACATCAATCTACTAAAATTTATCTGGTCTTTTATTTTAGCTCCACGTGTTGGTTGTTCTTGAAGTTAAACACTAAAATTTTGCATGTATGACTATCCCTGAATTATGGGCTGTTGTGAGCTATTGGAAGGTGTATGATAGCAAACATGGAAGTGACAAAATCAGGAAATATTCTGCGAGAAAATCAAGGATATGATTATTTTTTAATCTTCCATTTGTTATATTAATTTTCTTCTTAATCTGTATCCTCTTATTAGATTGTAAGTAGGACCCTCAATTAAGTGAACATTTTACAAAGTATTCAGTGCAAGCCAACTGGCAGAATTTAATGTTGTAGAAGGGTAAATTTGACTCCATGTTTTACTTTTCGTTTCTCCAGCTCAATAAACACTTAATATTTTTTATTTTAACCCATTCTCTCTTTACTTCAGAAGTGTACTTCCAGTTTCATTTTATTGGACGTGCTTGGATTTCTCAAGCATTATTTTGGCCTTGCACAGGTGTTGCCATATGATATGTTGATGCGGGAGTTGGATGTTTCAAATGTTCGTGAGTTAGAAGATTTTCTCATCAACGACTGCATGTATGTGGTAAGTTTTTGGTTTTTTTGTCAGAGACGTTTATTTCCATCATTTAATAGATAATACCATATCACTTATGAGGATTTCACAATAAAAATATTGCCTGGGATGATCCACTTTGTCTTGTCTGCTCTTATATAAGTTTATCCTCCTGCTTCTATGATTTTTGTGTTTCTTGTTGCTTGCCGAATTCTCTCTACTTTGTAAACTAAAAAATTAGCCTAGTGTCTTGATTATAGAGTTGAGATGGACACGAAACAAATACTTGACAAAGTCTGTTCACAGCTTTTCTTTCGTTCTTTCTTTCTTTATTTCTTTTTAAAAATTATTAATATTATTATTATTATTATTATTATTTGGTTGCACCATGTTGAGCAGGGGATCATCAGAGGAAAGTTGGATCAGTTGAGAAGATGCTTTGAGGTCGTATTTTCGAATTGTGTTGCTCATTTGGTAGCTTTAATGTTTTTCAGGGTGCCAATATGGTCACTGATATAAGTCTCAAATTGCTTTTAGGTACAATTTGCAGCAGGGAGGGATCTCAGACCTGGACAATTGGGTAATATGATTCAAGTGCTAGCAAATTGGTAACAATCGCTGCCTGAGAGATCCAATTTTTTTCTGTTGATAGTTTTATACAATTGTGAAGGTTCTTTCTGAGTTTCTGAGTGTTTAGTATCTAAGATTTAATGGGGTAACCTTTTTTCTGGCATATCTAGTGGTTGAACTATCTATCCTGGTATCCTTAATCATTTGTCTCAAACTCTCAATTTTGTAATGATAATACAAGGTTACGAGAAATTTGTGATTTCAAGACATTAGTTTTTAAGTACTTTGGCAGAGGGTATAACTGTTCCATATATGATGGCAATGTATCCAACTCTGGGGCTCCTTTTTCTTTTTCCATTTTAAATTTTACATACTCCTTTTAGCTTAAGCTAGCATTTGATTTGTGTATGTGCGCCTTATATGATAAATTTCTAAGGTCGGCTACGTCAGAGAGTCTTCTGGTTTCAATTCAAGAGAAGATAAAATGGGCAGATAACATGGCTGAGATGGACAAGAAGCACAGGGAGGAAATAGATGAGAGGGTGGAAGAAGTGAGGAAGACACTATCTTTGAAGGTCAGTTAAGTGAACCGTTCTCTGTGAACGAAATGCTGTGATTTTGCTATCCCATCAGTATACAATCATATACATTTGTTATATGTATAGTAGTTACCACATAAATGAATATCTGAATATGTATTCCAGGGAGGGTGTTTTTCTTGTTCTCATGAATTTATTTGAGTGCTTTACCTCAATACCGTCAAAGGTACTGTAAGGTTCTTGGGTTTGGTAAGTGTGTACCATTTCCCGTTGGTACTTTGTCAAATTCTTCATCCTTTATTCACCACCAAAGCTAGTCGAAAGACGAGTATTTCCTTTTTTATAAACATAATATTTCTAAGAATGGTTGTTTTTATGGATGAGATTGACTGGTAATGTGATATATTTATTCTCCAGAGATCCTTTATTTCTTTTCTATTTTATATTATTACATTTGTTCAAAACAAATCAACAGGCTCATTAAGGTCGAGTCTCTATTTAAGTTGATTACGTTCATTAGTCAGGTATATCTTTTCTGGAAAAATATTAGTGGTTTTAAGCTGGTCGGGGTTCTTCCTGAAGTATTATTTAATTGATATATTGATTGTTATTTTTTTTCTGATTCTCTTTAACCTTCACCCTAATATTATTCTATTAAGTTATGAACGTATATATACATACACACAAAATTTGGATGTTGTCTTACTTACGTTGTGGCAGAAGTTAAAAACTTTGGGCAGGTCGACATTGACTTGCGAGGGCATGAGGAGCTCTTTTCTGAATATGGTGGAGTGATGGACTTTGACCAAGACCGTAATCGACCCAAAAGGTACCTGAGATGCAATAAATATAATGTCATGTTTTTATATTATAGTATGGTTTGTGCATAGTGTTACTATTGGCATTATTGGTTGGAGTATTATTATTAGGTTAATATTGAGAAACAAAAAAAGAAAGCAGGCATGAGATGCCGGTAACTATATTTTTCAGGGTTTATTCCTGAAAAAGTTCTAGTTAGCTTTTAGAATTTGAAATACCCTCTCGAAGTAACAAGTACTTTTTTAAGATTTGTATAAATCGAAGAGTTACTCCTTTTCGGAGGGTGAAGATTATGAGAATGAAAATGTTGAGGAGGTCTCAGTAATTTAAAGAGTACTGTAACTGGATGTGATTGATGATTTAAAAAATACCCATAAACCATGCCTTCATAGAAATACACACAAACAGTGGCATGTGAAAATGAAATACAATTTACGGAAAATCACTGCTTATGAAGAGTTTCTGTAATGATGCTAAATCTAAAGTAAACATTTTAGTTATCCAACTCTCTTATTCTTCTTCTTCTTCTTTTATTTTTATTTATTTATTATTATTTATTTATTTTTGGTTTTGAATAATGTGTAGGAGACGACACCCCATGGGCTGAAGATATGTAATGAAGGAAGATAATGTAGGACTGAAGTGTTCGAGCAATGGGACACACTTTTGAAGTTGGGGGAAAACGAGCCTTTGTGCTTAACTTGTCAGCCAATCATAGGCTAAATTGACAGCATTAGCTTCTTTTATGCGACTGTATTTTCATTGAGTTGATGAGGACCAGATTTAAATCTTGTTATATGGTAATGATACATCAGAGAATGTTTTAGTACTCCTTGTTGTGCTTGTGATGAATGTGCTTCGAAGTCTTTTGGTTCAGTTATCGTTTACTTTTACGGACTTTCTTTTCGTACGTTGTTCTCACTCATTATCTCCTTTTCCTGTGTGTACCGGCTTTTGTGGGTTGACTGTGTGGTAAGATTTTGGGCACTTATGTACCAAAGAACATAACAAGTTCCAAATCTATACAAAAAACAATTATTGCAGTAATCCACAAGAATAACATATGTACCAAAGAATATAACAAGTTCCAAATCTATACAAAAAAATAAAGGAAAAGAATGCAAACTCATAAATTTCTCAACTTTACAAGGCGCTATATGTGCAGGTTGAACTCCAAGAAAAGCTTTTCAATATCTCCTCTTCAATTTTAGAAAAAAGAAACAATCCTGTTTTTGATTTAAATGTTGAAGTTGACTCGCAGACCACGTCTCTCCCGATTTTTTGTGCTTCCCTGATTCGTACCTTTCAAAATCGAGCATATCTTCAAAGGCCGTTGGTCATCCAAAACCCGAATGGAATCCGCCATATCTGGTCTCTGAATTGGTTGAATGTACTGTACATTGAAACTGTCCATCTCTTCCTTCATCCTTGGGTTGTCAATGAGAACTCCATAGTCATCCTACATTGATACAACTCAGTTCATTTATTACAACACTTAAGAAAAACGGAAGTTTTCCGATCTAATGTTGAACCATGAAAAATTGACAGCAAAAGGCAAAACAAGATAAGAAAGATGATTAGGTGAAAGCAAAGAAGCAATGAATAAACAAAAT